TTTTTTTTCTAGATTTGGCATATATTAATAGTTTTTTTTATAATCTTTTTAGTATTTTTTTTAATTTCTATTTGTACAATCAATATTTACCTATACTCTATTAATAGTTTATGTTAAGCATCATGAATTTGACTGAGAATACAATCATAAAAACAGAACTGAGGCCACCAGATTTGGGAACGGAGAGTTAGCAAGAAGTTGGTAACAGGCTACAAAAAATCACACTGTGGAATGTTGAATACACTAATTAACTAGCTTTGAGCATCACATATTGCATACAGGTAGTGATATTCAACAGTGTACCCCACAAATATGTACAATCAATTATGTTTCAACAACAATAATAAAAAAAATGATAAGTCTGTGTTTTGTCCCAAAGAATACATGGTCTATTGTAAGATAAAAATAGTAAACAGACATTTTACAGCACTTTATATTCAGTGCTATATGACATATTGGGTATAACACACATTAATAATAATTACACACACTCAAATACAGGGGTGTAGGCAAGCAGCTAAGTAAGGTTTCAGGGAGGAAATGCCTTTTCAGATAAGAATTGAATGTCTGGAAAGTGTTAAGCATCATGCACATAACAAGATCTGTGAATCAAAATTAAGTCAGATTTAGTTTTCAATATGTCAAAAGTTTCCCTGGTAAGGTTAGTGCAGGCAGTCCAGACAACAGCCTTTTATTTTGGACCTGGTGAAGTATCTTCTGAGGTTGGTCTGCCTGATAGACATCTGCAACTTGAAGCAAAATAGAGATTTTTCATCCCTATTTCTGCCAGTTTTTTTGCACTAGTGTGCTTCAACTTTGCAGCCTTCTTCCTTGGCAGGATCAGAGAATGGTCATTCTCTATGGAGGAGGTCAAATATTTTCTTTTACACTAAGGGCCAATATCTTATTCACTTTGACCTGCTATAACAGAATACCAAAGACTAGGTGGCTTAAACAACAAATGTTTATTTTTCACAGTTCTGGAGGCTGGAAAGTCCACAATCATGCTGCTGACAGATTCTGTCTGGTGAAGGCTCTTCCTCCTTTTCAGACAGCCTCCTTGCTGTATCCTCACATGGCACAGATAATTTATCTTTCTTCCATCTTCTCTTATATAGGCACAAATCCAATTCATGAGGTATCCACCCTCATGACCTAATTACCTCCCAAAGACCCCCATCTCCAAATACCATTATATCGGGAGTTAAGTTTCAACATACGAATTTTGGAGACACAGATTCAATTTATATTAGCGAAGGAGAAGGCAACTAGAAAGAGTGTCTTTAATGCTATCTTGTGAACAAAACGATCAGTCCTGGTAATGATAATTTCCCTGATCTCTTCTGAATTGCCTTCCAAAACTGGCTTTCCCAAGGGTTGGAGATTGCATAGAAGGAAAAGCACTATTTCATTCCCAAAACAGATATTAAGAACCTAGAACCTAGAAAATTTCTAGGGTCATGGGGACATGGATAAAGTTGGGCCACAATATTTTAACAGTTTTTATGAGAGAAAATATATATTTTTTAATTTTAAAAACTCAAATTCTTGGGCCGGCCCGGTGGTGCACTGCTACAGTGCGCCGCTTGAGAAGTGCGGGGGCGCTCCCGCTGAGGGTTCGGATCCCACATACAGACCGGCCGCTCACTGGCTGAGCGA